ACTCAAAATACTATTCAAAGCCCAATAAGAGGAGAACCATTCTAAACCACCAACTATTCATTTCTTTTTCTAATGTGGGACTATTCACAAAGGCAAAATTACCTTTTCTTAATAACATAGCCAACACAATGTTCAAAATTTATCCTCCAAAAGCACATTGATATATTTTCCCATCATCTGTTTTAGAGAATGGTAATCCATAACTTTCAAGTTCAATAACTGCTTTAGGCGCCTTTCAACATGTATACTGAATAGCATCCTGATCACTTGATGACAAATTTATCACTGATGTCATAAACAATGAGAAGGAACACACAGACCAAACAACTTAAGAAACTTAATTATATTAAGACTATAACACTATCATCATTGCAGATCATTAGCTTCACACAGTGGCAGACTTCTTGTAGTTTTATTACAGATCTAGCGTGTGTTTTGAGTTCCAAAAAACACTTCAAATAGAAGATATGATTGACAAATATTAGAAAAGACAAAATGATAAAATTTTGTTAAGGAAAAAATTAAAATAATATTTACAAAAATGGTGAATCACCAACATACAAGAGAGCTGCACAAAACTTTGCTCTGTACTTTGCACAATATCCTTCTGAGATTATTATCGATCGCTTTACGATAATGCTGTTAATAAATTCAATCATAAAGATCCCACAATCTAAGGTTCTACATTTAGAAAAAAAATTACGATATTAAAAATGACTTTTAGAAAAAATGAACTATTACATTAGAAATACATGAAATACATACAGTCCTTGTTGAGGCACAGCAACTGACACAAGAACACGATGCTCCAATTTTCCCAATGTTCAATTACTCTCTATGAAACTCATAAACTTATATGAAAATAATCACACGCATATAAATAAAAACATTATACCTAAAATAGATACTCAGTATGACAATAATCACAATAAATTTTATAAGTGCAAATTAGTTAGCAGTAAACATGCATAAGAACTTCATCAAAAAATTTACTTATGAAGAGGGAGGATTATTACCTTTAGAAGAGGAAGACTTTGATTTTGAAGAAATCAAAGTCGTCGACAATTTCAATTTGTTCGAAGCCATGACTTGGGTCTATGGCTACGACGAAGAAGGAAATTGAGGAATAGGCCAGGTGAAGAGGTCGAGGCGAGTTCCGACGGCGACGATGGTGGGCTGGCTGTGATGGAGGAGAGTAGGAGATGGAGGAGAGGAACTCGCGGGGGGCTGTGGCTCTCGCGGGCGGAGGAGGGGAGGAGACGGAGGAGCTGAAGGCGAGCGGAGGATGGGGAGGACACGCGTTGAACTGAGGGAGAGATGTGACGCGAAGTGAGCGGTGGAGAAATGGAGCGCGGGCTCGAGGGAATGAGCTGAGAGGCTAGATCTGAGATCTGTCCACAAAGGAGCATCATGATTGGGGATGAGATCTGATTGAGCTGAGGGCTGAGATCTCGGGCAAGTGGAACGGCGAGGTGGTGGGAGGGCTGGTGTAGATTTGGTCTGAGAGGAGTGTGGCGAATCGGCAAGGTAGATTTTGGAGTAGGAGGTTTAGTGATTGACAGTCAGATGCGAGCACAGGCAATGTCCCTGCATTAATATTAATTGAGGGGGGAATTAGAACGTAATACTATTGAAAGACAGTTCACTGAAGGCGATGTAGATGCACTTAAGTATGCTCTTTGCATTTTTGAAGGTGGCGACGTCAGCGCAAGCAACCTTTAAAGGATCACCTTAGTTCATATTATTTATATATCATGATAATATATAGTCTGATTATTATTAATACGTCTATATGATAAACTAGTCGAAATTATATATATATTATATAATATTATTATATATCCGTTATATTAATATTATTTCATGTCGCGACTATGCACGATTTACACTTCTAGGTGGATTTTGGCGGAAGGCTTTAGGTATATATATGGAAAATATGATTCTAAGGGAGGCGCAAGAGTACCGTTAGGACGAGGGCGTTCTTCGAGGGACGCCGAACAGGTTATAATAAGTGTAATGAGTACGCTTCGGAACGCCTATATCTTAAGTTCTTTGGGTTTCCGGGTTCCCAAGTTGTCTGATTATCTTCAGGGGCTATCGATGGGGCTATTTTAAAATGGATTCGGAATGACATATAAACCAAAAATTAGGCATATTGGGTTGTAGTTACAAATGCATCAAGTGATAGTAAAATTAATGGTTTCACGATAATACAACTAAAGAGACAATGAAAAATATGTGTTACAAACATTCAAACATCATATTTTTATTTTATAGATTTTTTAAGGCGTTTAGATTATGATAAATAGAGCAAATCGTCCATTAAAATAGCTCAATTCATGTATTGAGACATGCATCATTAGATTCAATCTAAGGTGGCTCCTTAGAAATATATATATATATATAGGTGAAAACTTGTGTCAACTTAAGCGGATAGGGAATAGTGTGTCCACCAAAGTTTTTAACCACTCATATTGTCTAGGAATCCTTGTATTATATAAAAAGGTGTTTTATATTAATAGTGTTTTATATTAATAAATGTGTGGCTAGAAACTTTGGTGGACATCAACTTAAGTTGATAGGAGTCTTGCTCTCTCTCTCTCTCTCTCTCTCTCTATATATATATATATATATATATATATATATATATATATATATATATATATATATATATATATGGAAAAGTGAAAATATATATATATATATATATATATATATATATATATATATATATATATATATATATATATATATATATATATATATATATATATATATATATATATATATATATATATATATATATATATATATATATATATATAT